TTCTTCAGATCCTTCCATTTAGTTCCTGTTTCCAGGACCCTTTGTTACGATATGCTTGGTTTCAGCTTTTAACTCAGCAATGCTTTGCTGGTATTTAGCCTCTACTTTGGCAATATATGCCTCCTAAGTCTGTTTTTGTAGGGAGTTCCCTAAGAGACTGTCTTATATGCCAGTGTACATCTGGACCACAGTTGTTCCCTCCATCACCCTCTAAACCCATAGTGCTTCCCCGAAAGGTGGTGGGCAGAGTGACTCACTGTTGATCTCTGGAATTTAGGCTGGTCAGTCCAAAAGCGGGCCTGGTTCGATTCCCCTCAGTGTCTTCAGCCTCTGTGTCTCTCTGGTTAGAAACAAGAAATTGATCACTCCCTTTTTCTGTTTCCCCACTCTCTGTGGAAACGGGTTGTCTGCTCTTCCCTGGCATCTCTTGGCTGATGCTGCACTATGTTACAACGGGTAGTGAATGGGAGCTGCAAGGATCTATGCCCCTACACTCGCATAGCCAGACTACACTCCATATCTGCCCTTAATAGAGTACTAATCCAACTTTCCCCACTTTTTGACAAATCGAAAATGAAATGTTAATGCAGTCTAATGGTTAACACTATATGACCCCGTGACCGACTATGCTCATTGTAGTAGCTCCACAAAGTTATAATTGTCACCCACAGCTCAAAAAAAGAAGTGAAAACAATTTGCATACAACAGATTAGACCATGTTGCAAAATGTGTATCAAATGACAACTTTGTGAATGCAAATCCACATAAAAATACAAGGGGGAAAGCTCCTGTAAGTGGCAAACAATTAGTACATTTCTTCCAAAAATATTCATATAACTATTTTAAAACCAAGAATTCCTTAAAAATAAAGTTACTCAGAAAAACAGCCATGACCTAGTACGTATGGTGTATAATGCATCTCATGCTGTACAACCTGGGAGACATACTGTAATATATTACAGTATTGCACAATCACAAATTGCATTATACCAGAATTTTAGGGGGAAAAAACACACATTTGTC